CTTGATTTCTATGTTTTACTGTGTGTTGCCACCAGTCATGAATCCACTGATCTACAGCATGAGGAACAAAGAACTCAAAATGGCATTTTGGAAACTGATTCTCAGTATTTTTCCCCACACCTTATGGAAATATTCCTAGTTATGTCTATTTTAGTATATGCTTTCAATTTCCTGGCCTTTTTGAAGTATGTCTCAACTTCAGTGGGTGAATTAGTCATATGCATATTAATTAAGATATAAATATCATTTTGATTTAGTGGGTTAGGTTTTCTCTTTGTGAAATTGATGGAAGTATAATGGTTTTATGTAGCATTGAAGCTAGGTAATTAAAGTTGCTTATGCTTGTACAGAAGCATATAACATTAAATTTTGTGATATGCCATTACATTTCTGAGAAATGCCATCTATTCATTATTATTTATTTATAATTTCTTGCAATAGAGTAAATATATCTCACATTATGCCTCTATTTATTCTTTGAATATATCTTATAATGGCTTTTATACCATACTCTTTTATACTATGCTTTTTTAAAACCAGTTATATATTTTCACAGATTCATTCCTTTTAATTAAATTTGTATACCTGCCTAGAAATGCTATTAAGTGGAAAAAAATGCTCCTGCATCTATAGAAAGCAGGTAAAAGAGTTGCTTTTATGTATCTGTAACCTTCTGGTTTTCATGATAAAGCTTTTTGGGACTTATTGAATACCCCCCCCCCAAAAAAAATAGAAATGGGGAAGAACAACTGCAAATTACTGAAATATATTATTTTGGGCTGTGAACTCTGGACAAGGGGAGAGGGGATGAAATGTTCCATCTATAGAAGCCCTTTTCCTGTGATTCTAGAGGTGGAAGTGTAGTTCCACAATTTGGTGTCATTCTTCTGAAGAGGGGATCAAGGTCCCCCCCCCAATAAAAAGTATATTTAATCCTTGTGACTAGAGTGATGTACCAATGGTAAAACATCTTGTACCAGTTCTCTCTGAGTATAATATGAAAAGGAAAATTAATGTACTTTCTCAGTGAAATTCCCACTGTTGCATCTCTATAACTGTATTTGAATGCTGAATCCATTTAATCATACCGTTTTTGTCTTGCTTGAGTTCTGAGTTGTATTTCAGTAGTAAATCATACATTGTTGCTAACAAATATTCTGTATTATGTCTTATAAGATTTCAAATTCAGACAAATTTCTCAATGTACTCTTTTGTTTCCATAATTCTTTTGCTGTTGTGCTGCTTATTTGAAAGTATTGGACCCAATTAAATGTAGAAGAGCACTGTGTAGTAAGACACAGACTATAAATAGTTGTTGACATGTGTTTCCAGGTTGGTAAATAATAATTATTAAATAGATCGTTATTGCTTTATGTAAAAAAAATCATCCCTAATATAAGTAATGTTAGTCCATGTTTGTTACTTATTCTGAGTAGATAGCCATTTTATACACATGAACCAATGCAGATGGAATTGAACCCGGTCAGATCCCCTTTCAAGGAGGCTAGTAGACAGCAAGAGTTCACTGGTTGAGTTCTTCAGGTACACACTATTCTACCCTCAGGGTGTATCCACCGTTCAATGCCTAGTATCAGGTCAGGAAATTAGTTCCTTTAAAAGGTGACCTGGAAATCCAAAACTAGTTTAGAGAAAAATGCTTTTAAATTATGATTTGTATATTTGAAACAAAATGTTTCAGAGTTTTAAAAAAAAATAGCAAGAAAGACATTAGATATGTCTTTGTATTGTTGCTGAGGAATAGTTTCAAAGTGCTTTTTCCATTATCATTGATAAACAGATATATAGAGAATTATTTTCCATTCAAGTTTAATGAGATCAGATTTCATTTATGACATGGTCCTATCCTGTATTTCTCCTAGCCATCTTCACTTTTTTGGACTGTCTTTCCTTCATAAAACTTAAAAGCTAAAAGCATCCTAGGTTTAAAGTGTTTACTTTTTTTAGATTTTTGTTTGTTTTTGTTTTTGTTTTTTTTGTATGACATTCAGAGTAGTATGTGCAGGAACAAGTAAATCATCTCTATATGGACAGATGATGTACAAGGAAACCACAATAATAAATCAGTACACATGTCAGTACATTGCAGGACGGGGAAGTGACCAGTTAGCATTTTAAAAGTCCATATTGAGCACAGTGTATCTTTATATGTTCAAAAAGGTAACATTTAAGAACCAAAACAAAAGCCTGCATGGATATATATCTACAAAGATCAGAACTGTGCAGGCTATGGTTATTCTTGTGATGCTGTATGGAAGTGAAAGTTGGAGTTTGAAAAAAGAGGATAGAAATAGTATTGATGCTTTTCAACTTTAGTGCTGGAGAAGACTTCTGAGAATACCATGGATAGTCAAGAAAACAAAATGATCATAGACTCTGTTCTGTAAGCATAATACTATCTCTTCCTACCTACCTACCTACCTACTTATCTATCATCTATCTATCTAATCAAATAGAAGTCAAAGCACAGTGACCTGGCTTAAATTACCACATTTTGGACATATTATATGAAGACCTAGCTCTGAGGTCTGCGTTCTTTCTACAGAAGGAGAAGACTGTGAAAATCAGTCAAGAGCTGGCAAATTCCTTCTGTATGGATTCCCTGATACTGAAGGCTTACAGATATTCCACATGACTATTATTATTATTATTTTAATAATTTATTTGCTCACCATTTTGATGTCAGCCTTACAGGGGAAACCAGATAGGAAACATAACCAGATGAGCTAAATCTACTTTATTGTTAACCTACATTGACAGAATCTTGCAAGTCTAAAAGTGCATTTCTCCCCCAATCTCCTTTACAAGTTGAGAAACTAGGGAAGGTCTTCTGAGCCTCTTGCCCCACCCACTATCCAGCTGTGGGTTATGTTATCTCCTATCTGACTGTTCCCTTGACAGCATCTCTTTGCCCAGTCTCCCAAGGTCATTTCCACATACCATTACACTTTCTGAGGCAGGTCTGAGGGTTGGGGATTGGGGGCAGTGCAATGATTCTGTTCCTTTCTCTTGGGCCAGTTCCAGTCAGTGTTGGTTGGCATGGAGAGATCATCCCCTAAGCACCTTACTTGTGGGGTGCTGCAGGGTTCTATTATTTCTCTCCTCCTTTTTAACATCTAAATTAATTGCTGGGTGAGGACATCCATCAGTCTGGTGTTCAATATGTTCAATCAGTATGTTGATGATACCCAATTATATCTTTAGGCTCCAGTCAACCAGGTTAGGCCGCTGAGGTTCTGTCCCTGTGCCTGCAGACTGTGTGGGTTTGGATGGAGAGGAACTATCTCCAATTCAACCCAATCAAGACCAAGGGACTGTGGGTGCTTGGACCACTCAGATCTGGAATATTCCAACTTTCACCTTGGATAGGGTTGAAGTTCCCCATTGAAAAATGGTGTACAATTTGGGGTTTTTCCTGGACTCACAACTCCTGCTTTTGCCCAGCTTTATCTGGTGCACCAATTTTGCCCTTTCCTAGATCAGGGGGCCCTTCAGACAGTCACTCATGCTCTGGTCACCTCACAGCTTGACTACTGCAATGCACTCTATATGTGGCTACCCTTGAAGAACACCTAGAAACTTCAGATGATCCAAAATGCAGTGGGGCTGGCAGTGATGGGCATACCTTGCCCATGAGTTGTGTATGTAGTAACTCTTTGCAAGCTGCATGGGTTGACAGTTTGCTTCCAGGTGTGATTCAAGGTGCCAGTTGTAACCTATAAAGCCTACATGGCATAGGGCCTGGTTACTTGAGGGATGACCTATATCCCATAGTACCAGCCTGAGCTGTGCTCTGGGTTCCAGTGATTAAACCTATTGGTGCCTTCTCGGTAGCAGCACATTTATTTGGAATTTCTTGGTAAAATAACAACAACAACAACAACTTTGTCTAGGCTACTTCCCTGTCTGTACTGCAGCTCCTAATGGGCAACTCTGAAGTACTTTGACTCCCCCCCCCCACCAGAAAAAAAAAAATAGTTCTCACAGCCATTTTATCTTTGAAACCAAGGTGATCATAGAAATTATTTTCTGCTACAATTATGGCAATGTGAAGGCCATTATAGTTCCTGTTTTTTCGGATTAAAGCCAATTTCGACAAAACTCCAAGCTCCTTCTCATGCACATTTTTGTTAAAAAATCCCATAGAGAAAAACTGTTTCTTTAAAACTTTTAAAATTGAGATAAACATAGAAATTCTCTTATGACCCAATTAAAACCATTTGAAGGCCCATAGAGTAACTGTTGATTAGATTAAAGCAAATGTAAGGAACATTCCAACCCCATTCTCACCCACAGAATTTGATTTAATGCTGCTGAACTGAGAAATGGGCCCCTTGGGGATAGTTACAAGCATCCCATAGATAAAACCTGTTCTTTCTCTCTGGCACTGTCAAGTCAGAGAAAATGCTTTTCAAAGTGTTCCAATCCATCTTGAATAATGGTGCAAGGAAAAGGAGTCTGATCTTTGAGTTCTTCTCTACAGACTGCAAAGCCTGAATAGCACTATGGAAAATCAGTCAAGAGTTGATGAATTCCTTCTGCATGGATTCCCTGATACTGAGGAGCTACGGATAGCCCACATCCTCATTTTCTTAATAATTTATTTGATGTCTCTCATTGAAAATCTCATCATCATCACTGTCATTGTTTGTAGCCATCAGCTGCATTCACCTATGTATTTTTTTCTAGCCAACCTTTCCTTCCAAGATCTTGGGTCCATCTCTGTCACAGTTCCTAAGTCAATGTTGAATTCTTTGATGAACACAGAAATTATTTCTTACTCTGGATGTCTCTGCCAAGTTTTCTTCTTTGTTTTCTTTGTCGTGTCTCATCTCTTCCTCCTTGTTGTCATGGCATATGATCGTTATGTAGCCATCTGCAATCCATTACATTATGAGATGATAATGAACAAAAAAAACTGTATCCAAATGGTAACTAGTGCATGGATGGGTGGCCTTTTTTATTCAACTCTCTATACAGGAAACTTTGTTTTCTTTGTCGTGTCTCATCTCTTCCTCCTTGTTGTCATGGCATATGATCGTTATGTAGCCATCTGCAATCCATTACATTATGAGATGATAATGAACAAAAAAAACTGTATCCAAATGGTAACTAGTGCATGGATGGGTGGCCTTTTTTATTCAACTCTCTATACAGGAAATTTATTTATGGTGAAGTTCTGTTCCAGAATCATCAATCAGTTCTTCTGTGAAATCCCTCAGTTACTCAAGATCTCTTGCTCTGACTCATATCTTGTAGAAATCTGGGTTCTCATCTTTGGCTCTTGTTTAGGGTTCATTCAGTTTGTGCTAATTGCTTTTTCTTATGTTCAGATCTTCAGAGCAGTTTTGAGAATCCCATCCACCCAAGGGAAGCAAAAGGCCTTCTCCACTTGCTTACCCCATCTCATAGTAATTTGTCTGTTTACGGTAAGTGGCACCCTTGCCTATTTCAGTCCAGCCTCTACCTCTTCTTCAGCATTAGATCCATTTATATCTATATTTTACTGTGTGGTACCACCACTCATGAACCCACTGATCTATAGCATGAGGAATAAGGAACTCAAAATGGCACTCTGGAAGCTAATTCTCGATATTTGTCCTAATTCCTTATGCAAAAATCATTCTCAGTTTCAGCTATTTTAGGAAGCAGTTGTCTAGACATGTTCTAGACATGTTTTATTCAAAAATATATAAATACCATGTCAATGAGTAAATTAAACGTATGCATTATCCATGTTGACAACAGAGAAATTGTTATTTTATGGATAACAACATTATCAATATGATTTATGCTTAAAAATATGCAAGTATTTTTTTTCTGTTTACTTATTTTTTTAATGCTATGGGGAAAAGTTTTACCATTTTGCTCATTATATGTCAATATAACTTGTTGTGTATTTGCATTTTTCCCCCAAATCCTGCATCCATGTTAACTAGATGGCAATAAATTGTCATGATGTTTCATTTATTATGGAGATATTTCAGAAGAGTTAGGCTGGCAAGCACATTTCTCATGGCAGAACCTGGAATAGAACCATGGGAGAAAAAAAGGGAAAAAATGACTGGGAATATCAGGTACAGGATATTCTAATTTATTTTTTGTGCCCTAAGTTTTGGAATTGTAGACTTGAAATGTTTGTACTATATGTGTTTAAACAGTAGTCTCTGAATCCCTATTTAATGTACTCAGGACCTTCTTCAGTTTCAGATTTTAGGCAAGTAGTAAACCAAAATCATAGTGAGGTATAAAATAAGTGCAACAAATTTGTAAGTACATTATGACTCAATGAAATATCAGTTCTACTGGAAAGAAGTACACAGCATTATTTTTTAAAAATAAATAAATAAATAAAATACAAAGCTTGAATTGAAACCTTAGTTCTTTCTACTAGGGATGTTTCCAGAACAAATAAAAAACAAAATGACAATACTGCTAAGATATATGTTGATGGCAAGAAATTTGGCCCAACATTTCTCTGACAATATCAGATTGGGAAACCAGACTTGAGGAATATGCAACCATGGCAAAATTAACAGTATAAGTCCACAGAAGTATGACTAAATTTAAGTGCAAATGGCTTCCTTACATATTACATGTCATACAATAAGATAAACTCATATACCTATAGTTTTTAAGGAGGAAATATTTAATGTAAAGATAGTAATCAAAAGCAACTTTATTGTTTATAAATATTTTGATGTAATCACTACTTGAATACATCTCATTGTCATCACCATACATTTGTTTTCTTGTTTCTTTGCCTACCTTAAAGTCCTTCACACCTTGACTTCATAATTATAATCATATATTCCATTATTACAGTCATTTTAAATCCATTGATCTATGGCATGAGAAACAATTATATTAAAAAACTTCTTACAAGACTTCTTGGTTCGAAGTCATTTCCTTTTAAAGAAATATGAGTTGTGTAAATATCTATTTATATATTTTAATGCAAAATGGAAAGAACAGTAAGGGACCATACAACATAGATGAATAGTGCTAAAACACACTTGTTCCCTTAATTTTGCAAGTTTATTTCATTTAGAAGACTGCACTCATTATTCAATACATTTATCTTATGTGACTTTTCAGCTTCAGAGATAACCCTCAAGACACCAACAGTTACATAAAATAATAAACTAAACTAAGTAAAAAATAATGAGATGTGATTGAATGAGACTCAATGTTTTTTTTTTATCTGAAACCAGCATATAAAAATCTTATCTCAAAGATGGTTAGTGATATGCTTCTTAGAAAATTTATTTTTATTATTCTTAAAAAAGAACATATATTTCCATTTGGTGTTTCATTTTAATTTTAGGAAATCCATGTGGTACGTTAAAGAAGACATAGACTCTCTATGAAGACATTAAGACAGACTTCCCTGGGCTTCTGTTATGTATTTTGAAGGTTTTACTCCCTTATTATAATTGAGTGATTTCCAAAGTATATATTTTTTTT